CCCCACTGTCAGAGACTGGGCTTTGTTTAATCAGCAATAATGCGTTGCTATGAGATTCCTAAAACAGAAGCCAAGCCAGGAGTGGTTGGCACACATCTGTAATTCCAGCACTCAGGAGGCTGAGGCAGGAAGATTAACACAGGGTAAAGACCAGCCTGGGCTATATAGTGAGACTCTATCTCAAAAAACAAAAATAAAATAAAAAATCCCCAGAAGACAAATACATGTGGGGATTGTCAGAACTCAAGAAAGCACAAATCTCTTGCCAGAAGAAAATGGCAGGCTAGGCAGGTAGACCTAGCATAGATATCTGTCTTATTTACTTACTAAATAAGTAAATTATTAGTAATTTTTAATAGTTTTATTTAGTAATTAAAACTTACTAAACGCTACAAATTGTAGTTAACGTGTATGAATGGTCTTTAGGTTTTATTTTAGGAGTATTTTATTTTAAGATAGGGCTTGCTATGTAGTTCAGACTGACCCTGAATTTGTGGTGATCCTCTTGCTTCAGCCTCCCATTTGCTGGGATTACAGGACTGTGCCACTATGCCTGGTTTAGGAGTATTTTAGAACTGGAGATTAAATTCTTGATTTTTCTCTTCACACAGTTTGCTAACAACAACAAAGCCCTATTGTATTCCAAATCCAACTCTTTGAAAAGTTGTGAATACTCTTAAAACTAATGACATTAGCATTAATAATGTTTAAGGGAGAGAAGAAGTGTTTCAATGCATGGTAGAAATAAACAGGGCAGTCAAACACCTCTAATCTAATACTGCTGACAACACCACCAAGTGCACCGTAAGGTTGTCATTCAGCACCCTTCAAGACAATTAAGGAAGAGAGGAACAACTATTTTGAGAATGATTTTGAAGAGTCCCTGAACAGCATCACTTTCTCCAAATGTTTCAAGCAAATTGTTAAGTGAGGTAATGAGAGCTGGACATGGTGGTGCACACCTGTAATCCCAGCACTTGAGAGGCTGAGGCAGGAGGATCACCCAGAGTTTGAGGTCAGCCTGGGCTACACAGTGAATTCAAGGCATCAGCATGAACTACATAGCAAGACCCTGTCTACAGAGAGAGAGAAGGTAATGAGGGTAGTGCCCTTCCCTCGAGCAATCAGGATGCTGATACCCCCTACCCCCAATGTAAGGGCAAGACCACCACTAACCCCCAACCAGCTCTACTCTTTGCTTCCCCTTGGCAGCAGGCAGCAGAAGTGAGGACAAGCCAATCTCGTCCTGGAGGGGGACAGTGCCCAGGGAGAGAAGGGAGCAACCATACCCTGAGACTCTCAGCATCAGTCCTGCAATCCACCTGACTCCGGCCCTGCAGCCCACATCCAGCAGAGACCAGGTCTCTCCCCTACCAATGGGAGCAGGGACATGCCCTGGCTTGGAAGGTAACCACAGTCTGGGATGAACAGACAGAGGGGCCTCTGGTGCAGGGAGAGCACCCCAAACACAGAGGCCCTAAAGCTAGGTGGAGAAAATCGTGGCTGTCTGGATCTCAACACTGCAGAGCTTAGAAATAAACCACTCATTCAAAAACACGGGAATTTTTTCTGACTCCATTTTCTTTGATTTTTCTGTTTTTTATTATTTTTATTTTCCTTCATTGGGATTTTCTGGAGGATAAGGGTTTTGTTTTCCATTTTCCCATTCTTAGTTTCCTTTTTCTCCTTTTCTCTTTCCATTTTCAACTTTTTTCTTCTTCCAGATTTCTTTTATTTCATGTAGTTTGCTTTCTGTTTATCTTTTTTCTTGGTTGTTGTTTCTTATGACTATTTTCTAACACTATTAATTACCCTTTACACCTCAACAGGACCCCCTAACTTTTGTCTCCTCCTTCTTATATTCCATTGATTATGGTGGGACCTTGGTTCACAAATGCTTTCATGTGCAGACACTCTGAGTCTTAAACAGAAGCATTTGGCAAAATTGTTTTCAAACTCTCCACTGAGTGATGAACATAACTATGGCCATCTTTCACACACAGATATGAACATGACTATCTTTTCCAGAACTGGGGGAGGGGAAAGGAATAAATATTTGAAGAGGAAAAAATGGAAACAAAGTCTTTTTAAATAGGGAGGAATGGAGGGGTTGAAGGGAGGGCAGGGGAATGGGGAAAAGGGCAAAAAGCAAGAATTTATTATGTAGCCGGGCGAGGCGGCACATGCCTGTAATCCCAGCACTCAGGAGGCTGAGGCAGGAGGATGGCTGTGAACTCAAGACCAACCTGCACTACACAGTGAGTTCCAGGTCAGTCTCAACTACATAGTGAGACCCTGTCTCAAAAAACCAAAAAAAAAAAGAAGAAGAAGAAGAAAAATAGAATTTATTATGTAAAGGTACAAATTCCCACTAATGAACGTCAGCATACTGTATACCTAAAGTGTACCAATAAAATAAATGAATTAAAAAAAAAAACAGATGACTGGATAAAGAAAATGTGGTATTTATGCATAGTAGAGTACTACTCTGCCAGAAAGATAAACTCGAGTCATTTACAGGAAAATGGATGCACTTCGAGTCCACAATGCTAAGTAAAATAAATCAGATGCGCAAGCATATATGTATAGCATGGTTTCTCTGATATGAGACACCCAAAGTATAAATAAAGAGCAAAATAAAATAGAAAATAGTAAGTAGAGATATTGATCTTTGTTAAATGAGGTGGAGGGAGAGAAAGGAAACAGGGTGATAAAGAATTAAGATGTGTTATATACACATACTGACTTCACACAGGAATGTAAATGGTATGTACTGCAAACATGTACTAATGAAATAAACAGGTGAGAATAACTATTCAATAAATAGTTCATAAGAATAAAACAGTTGTTTTAAAAAGAGCAGTAATGAGTACACAAAACTCCCTGACAGGGCTGGCTGAGCTCAGTGGAAGTGCCTGCCTAGCGTGAGCAAGTTCCTTGGTTTAACCCCTAGCACTGAAGTGGGGGAGGACCTCCATGACATTTACGAGTACTGGCCACTGACCCCACTTCCTGTGACAGAGCAGGTGTTTAATTATGTATTGTCTCAGTAAATGAATCTTTGAGGGTTGCTCTTCCCTCCCTAGTCCTGCACTGGGACTCTCCCTCTCCACAGCAATCATCTCACCCTGGCTTGTGTACTCTTCTAGAGGTACTTTCATACTTCATGTAACTTTTTTTTTGGTACCAGGGATCAAACTCAGGACCTGACACTTGAGAGGCAGGCAGCAGAACCACTGAGCTAAATCCCGGCCCTCATCTAACTTTTTTTTTAGTAGCAAGGTTTTACATTTGTTAAAGCTAGGAAAAGAAACAGGCTCTGCAGAACAAGTCTGAGCCAGTAAAAGTAGGAAAATAAGTACACTCTCCAGGATGAGAATGGGCTTCTCTGAGAACACAGTGCCCACTTCACTGAACTTGGACAGAAACGAGGGAGGTGGGGGACATAGATGTACTTGCTGATCACCCTTTCCAGACTGCCTGTGGCACCAGCATGGTTTTTTTGTTTTGTTTTGTTTTGTTCTTGGTTTGTTTTTTTTTTGGTACTGGGGATCAAACTCAGGTCCTTGAGCTTGTGAGGCAGGTGGCGGAACCACTGAACTAAATCCCTGGCCCACCATGGGTTTTTATTGTTGGTCTGTGGCTGCTAATACTGGAGAAAGCAGCCCAACCGCCCCCAGCTGCATGAGGCTGACAGTAAAAATGTGTGCTTTAAAAAAAAAATTTTAGACTAACTAGAGCTCACTGTGGACGGAAAGTCACTCCTTCCTTCACTACAGAATGCAAGTTATTGAATTATTCTGCAGAAAAATGACACAGTAAAACTGACATGAACTGGTCCAACACGAAGAGGTAGTAGCAACACCAACAAGTATCTTGCAGAGCGGACCAGCATCAAAGAACAAGACTCTGGACTGCACCATAGGCAGAGAAAGAAGAAAAATGAAAGCCACTTACAAAAGCAGTTTTAAATGTGAGGATGGATTCACACAGCTGGCCTCACAAAAGAGAATAAATATGTCAAAGGGAACAACTGACAGACTAATAGAGTTCTATCCAACTGGCTGAGGAAAGAGCCGCTGGGGGAACACTGAGAGGCCTGCCTGCTGGGAAAAGCCTGCCTGCTGCCTCAGTGGGTGAACAGAGTAGCTTTTTGGAATGCTCAAGCACATGGTCACACCAGAGCTGCTGGCTGGCCCTGCCAATAAAAAGCTCAGAAAAATGAGGTGCTGGGGTGTGGGGGGCAGCCAGTGGGCGGGAGTGCTGAGCACATGTGGTCTTCTTCCTGGCCCTGGCCCCTCCAACTGGGCAGCAGGATGGGAAGGAAGGAGATCGTAGGATAAAAAGGTTTTGTTTTGTACTTTTTAAAACAGTGCCTCAGAACGAAACACCAGATTCAACCCTATACCATGGTAAAGCCCCATCTGCACTTTACATAATGCAGAGCTGAGTGCAGGCACTTTGGGAAAGGAGGAATCAGGCCAGACCCAAGAAAAACAAACACACAAGCCTATCTGCATCCCCAAGTTAGGCCACACCACAGAAAGAACTCCACAGAAACAACTGCTCAAGGCAAAGGGAACTCAATTATTAAGGAATCTGACCCAGTAAGAGCTCATGTTTTAACAAGCCAGTTTCAAATTAAGATGAACTCAGGGTTTTTAAACTGGCAGTTTCTTCTATTTCTAAATTCTCACCTTTTATTTTCAAATATCAAAATGATTCTCTGACTAAAATTTTAAGAAGAAATGCCTATCAACCACTCTGGAACCATTTTCACCTCATATCATCTATAACTAAACACACCTTTCAGGGGGCACAGATGAGAAGGTGCAGCTCTATTTAAAGGACTGTCAACCATTTTGTGCCAATGCCTCTCAGCAGCCTGATGCTTCCTCCTCCATCAAAAGCTCAGTCACAAACTCTCCTGCCAGCAGAGAGTAGGCAACTGTTTGATCCCAGCCACCAACTAGGTCACTCTGGGGAGGGTAGTGGCTTACCTGCTCCTCTGACAGTTGGGATATGTGATTCACAGCAGCGTAGGATTCAATTTTGGGATTAAAGTGGTTGATGATGGCTCTGAAACAAAGAATTAACATTAATATAGTACCAGGTGGAAGAAGAGGATAACCCAGTAAAAATAAGATTGAGTACACTCTGGTTTAGAGTACTAGATCACGGGAATGATTGTCAGAGGGTTACTGTTCTCTTACTGAACGTGAGAAGATTACAAATGGGGAGGAACTGATAACTCTGAAATGGGAAGGTATTAATAATTTTTTAGACAGAGAACAGGATCAAGGGCTGGAGATGCAGCTCAGTGGCAGAGCACCTGCCTAGCATACGCAAGATGCTGGGTTCAATCCCAGCAGCACAAGAGAGAAATGGAGAGGAAAAGTGTCAAGCACCTCTGCTATACAAATGCACTAAGCAGAAAACCCCATAACCATACCAAAACCAAAATAACCACAACCCCATGCCATAGTCCTTCAGACTCCCAACAGGACCAGGGGTGACCATTAGGGGGACCTAGATTTTAAATGGCAGAAGAAAGGCTGCTTGGTAGAGGTGGGTCACATATAGGGTAGATAGTGTCTAAAGAAGCTGAGGTTCATCGAAGACCGGAAGCAATCTTCATACCTGGTAGCACACAGTTTCAAACTGAAATTTCAACTCCAATAATTCAGATCGATGAGCATCATTTTCAAATGCTCCCTCCTCCATCACTCACTCACACAGAAGATTACCCAGTCTTATCAAATCAACTTCCTCAAAATCTCTGAAATCAATAAGCTTCTCTGAAACCATTCATTGCCTCGATATATAATTCTTTTCGCTTCTTAGCTGGTATAGTAAAAGAACATAGGTTTTAGATCAAGGTCTGACATAAGTACATACAGATGTAAATAAATGAGGAAAAGAGACAAATCTCTCTTACATAACAATTTCAAGCAATATGTATAGATACTCACTCCCACAGGAGGTGGAGTTTAATTCCCACCCTCACTAAGGATGGCCTACGTTTAGTGGCTTAGAGTAGCAAAAGAGAAAAACGGTAATTTTACAGCAAAGAAATCTAACCAACTAGTATTTAAGTCCTCGACTAAGCGATGAAGGCTAACATCACCAGTGATATTATGTAAATATCATGTAACCTCTGGTACAACATCATGAGATGGGTACTTCCCTTTTGTTTTCTTCAAAAATCTATAACCCTAATCTAAACATATGAAAAAGAAATTAGACAGGGCCACAGATTTAGGTCAGTGGTACCACACCTGCCTCGCAAGCTTAAGGCCCTTAATTTGATCCCTGGTACAAAAAAAAAAAAAAAAGGGAGGGAATCAGACAAATAAAGACTGGGACATTCTACAGAATATCAGTCTTTTGTTGTTACTGTTGGTAGCAGGGATTGAACTCGGGACCTCACCCATGAGAGGCAGGCGGCAGAACCACTGAGCTAAATTTCCAGCCCTCTAAAGGATATCAGTACCCCTTAAGGATGCATGGGGATTTAGCTCAGTGGTGCCGCTACCTGTTGCCCAAATACAAGGTCCTGAGTTCAACCCCCATTATCCCCCCACAAAAAAAGAATGGAAAGGCTGTGAATAAGAAGACTTGAGAAACTGTCACAAAGCAGAGGACCCTGGGGATATGACAAATAGTGCAGTGCCCTGGACAGGTTCCTGGAGCAGAAAGGGTATTAATGGATAAACTAGTAAAATCTAATAAAACATATGGAGTTTCTACTTAAATCATGCTGTATCAATGTCAGTTTCTAATTTTGCTTTGATTTGTTTTTTGAGAGAAGGTCTCACTTTGTAGCCCAGGCTGGCCTTGAAGTCCTGGTGATCCTCCTGCCTCAGCCACGCAAGTGCTGAGGTTATAAGTGTGCACCTCCATGCCTGGCTAATGACAGTTTCTTTGTGTTGACAAATGTATCATGCTAATGTAAAATGAGCAAAAGTAGGCTGAGGGCATACAGGGACTGTACATTATCTGTACTCTTTCTATAAATCTAAAATTATTCCAAAGTTTATTAGAAAATATGTGTATGAGATAACCAAACAGAATAAGTAGTTTTCATATTGCTTATTGATAGTAAAAACTATAGAACTATTCTCTCTACTACCGGGAATAAAATTATAAGCCAGAAAAAAAAAAAAAAAAAAAGGTCTGGAATCCACTTACTATTTGGACTAACTTTTGGCAAGCTATATACTCACCAGAAGAAAAAGAGGGAGGGCCAGGGATTTGGCTCAGTGGTTCCACCGCCTGTTTCATAAGCAAACAGGCCTGAGTTCGATCCCCCGTACCAAAGAAAAAGAGGGAATAATACCACCTAACTCAGCCCTTAGCATAGTACCTGGGAACAGTACATTGTAGTCACACAGTAAATGCTTACCCAAAGAGCAACTAAACCTTATAGGGTCCTTGCAGTATTTATTTAATTTATATACATACATATATGTGTATATATATAATATTTATGTACTAGGATGCATTATAATAGAAACCTGGTAAAGCAGTGTCAACGTCTGGCACACGGTGCTGGTGCTCAGAAATATTCAAGGAATGAATAAATCAAGTAAGACAGAAACAGGTCAGTAGCAAGAGGACAGTTCTGGTAACTTACTTTCTTTTTTCTTTCTTTCTGTGGTACTGGAGATCAAACTCAGGACCTTGCGCTTGCGAGCCAGGCACAGTGATACTGATAACTAAATCGCCAGCCCCTGATAACTTATTTTCTTAGTGACTACCAAGAAGGGCAGACATCGTATCTGCAGGTTAAGGTTGAGGGTTGGTCTAAATCCAAAATGGGAGAGAATTTCATGACTAAGAGGCGGTCAAATTTGTTTCTCGTCTAGAGCATGAAGTCTGAATGTACTGGCAGGGATAAGCACAGCCCAGAAGTAAATGAGCCTGATAC